TACGGTGATGCTGAAGAGAAGGACAGGTATTTCCACAGTACGGAATAAATTAGGAAATACAATTATCTTACTATCTAGACACTTCAAAACATGGCTGTTTCTGCTGTTTGTATTCGATTCTGTCTCAAAGAAGCATAAGATAGTTATAATTTCTTTCACAAGAATGTGTCCCACGAAGCTGTCTCATTTATGTCTATATGTTATAAGTTTAAAAGGGGAAAAACATTTGTCTGCTTCCATTGTCTAAATGACATTTTTTTTTCAAGATTTTCAAGATTTATAGAGCACCTAAATTTTTCCAGATCATATTTTTCTTGTTAGACAGTTTTAATCGATATTTTTAACTAGACTTACTTAATCAAATATGTAATTCATCCTTTGGAATGTTTAACATGACTACTGAAAATGGAATGTTTTTATTAATTATTCATCTTTCGAATCTTTTTATCCTTGCTTTTTAAAAGCGGTTAATGAAGACCTAAACAATGGGAACCAGATCACTGTATTCCCTCAAACTTCAATCTTTTTCATTTCTTACCCTGATAACTGTGTGTAAAGCTATGTGAATGAATGCCTGAACTGTCTTCAGCAAAACTGTCAGATGAATTTTCTTGGAATAAAAGTTTCTAAATCAAATAAGCTGATGTCAGGTCATAGGTAGTGCATTGCTTTTCACTTTATAGATAACTTGTTAGCACACTTCTCAAGTTCTCTAATCAAGATAACAAGATATGACTTAGCACTTTACTTTGATTGTTGAGGCTATTGAGTAGGATGTCATATGTCAGCATTTTATGCCTCTCAACACTGAGTCGTAAGGAGAATCAACATAGATGAAAAAAATGCTTCTGTCGTAAAGATTTTATCCTGTTTCTTCCATTACTGGAGACAGTGATGTTACATTAGACTATATGGATCGTACTATATTTTCTGTAAGACTGAATGACTATCAACTGATACCAATTGAAATATATGAGTAAAACTCAGTTTTCATACACTTTAAGAGAAAAAAAGCCAAATCGTGAATGGTAAATAAATTTTTGGTGTAAGTTGTAAGTTTCCCATTACAAGAGACTGTTGACTCTGGTACTCACATAACTTTCTGTATGTAAAATGAGCTTTTATTTCCTCAAAGGCTGAAAATAAAACAGGAATCAGCTGCCCGAGTGTATTATTGCAAAGCAGAATGCATAATCACAATACATGACAACAACAATTCGTGTTTCAAACTGGTGTTGATAAACGGGCTACCTGTTTGCCATATGTATGTGCATACTTACTATCATGAAATGCTTATGACAATCCTACTTGTTTTATGTTTGTCTATGCCAACTCAGGACTGATTGTTCCTCCAGAAGTTATGACTTGTATAAAACGAAATGCGCATATGCAGACTGAACTAAAACTCAGTGAATTTGCCTTTTAAAATGGTTAGCCTGATTGTGCATCACAGCTAAAAACTAAGGACTTGTGGTATACCTATCGTCGAATCAGTAACTTTTAGTTGACTTAAGTGGTAATGCTGCTTAGATTGAGCATGCTTACATATTAAGCGAACAAAAGGTTTCCTGAACTAAAATAACTTTTACTACTTGACTAATTTTGATGTGAATGAAGAAAGCTAATGACTAACACACATAGTTTCAAACTGCTCATGATTATCAGTAGTATATTTGAATGGATAACAATCTGCTATCATTAGAAAATGCTTTTTCCTGGTAGTACTGGTAGTACTATATGAAGATGCCACATGCCAAGTAATTCACAATGGGAAGCTCAGTGATGCTTTTGAAGTGAAGACAGGAGTGAAACAAGGTTGCCTACTATCCCCTATGATACTCCTGATTGTGGTCGACTGGATCATGCAACAAACAGTGGGCAGCGAGATGAGGGGGATACGCTGTCTGGACTGCGGAAAAGAACCTAGAAGATTTGGATTCCGCCGATGACTTATGTCTGATGTCACATAAACTTGAAGATCTACAGGCGAAAACTAACAATTTGATAGAAGAGACAGCGAAGACGGGACTTCAAGTGAATATAGAGAAGACAGAAGTGATGGAGATACCTCACCAACAACTCCAACAACAATAACAAGCTCCAATCACCATCAACGGGAGAAACTTAAAGGAAGTAACCTCCTTCACCCATCTAGGCAAGCAGCACTGTTTCAACTACAGGTGGCACAGGCACAGACGAGGATGTCAAAGTCGGAATCGGAAAAGCAAGACAGGCCTTCATTAGCCTGAAACCAGTGTGGATATCTTCTGTACTCAGCATGTGCAACAAGATACGGATTTTCAGCACCAACGTCAAGTCAGTGCTTCTGTGTGGTTGAGAGACTTGGCGCGTCACGAAAGGCATTTCCAACAAACTACAGACATTCATCAACAACTGCTTACGCTGGCTCGCTACTGAAGATCAGATGGATTGCCAGAAAGAAAAAGCAACAAAGAGCTCTGGGAACGAACCAACCAAGAACCTATCATGCAACAAATATGCAGAAGGAAGTGGAGATGGATTGGGCATACACTGAGAAGGCCGATCGAGGATATCACGCGTCAGGCCCTCGAGTGGAATCCCCATGGGAAGCGACGAGTTGGACGTCCGAGGGTGACATGGAGGAGGTCGTGCGAGGAGGAAATGAGAGGTTGTGGGCTGTCGTGGAGCCAGGTTCAAAAGATCTCAGAGAACAGAGTGTACTGGAGACGTGTTTCTGAAGCCCTATGTTCCACTAGGAACCCAAGGGACTAATAATAATAATAATAATAATGACTTGAATAATTAGTAATGTAATGAAGTAAAACTTTAGTAGTTTTGTTTCACAAGTTATTCATTTCTAAGTCGACATGCTTTGATAGATCAGCGCTAACGTGTAAATTCTAGTCTGAAGCTTGTAACCACTACTGAATTGATTATTTCATGCTAACGTGAAGATTTCATGTTGCCTTTTTAGTTGTTTTTTCACTGCTTAATATTAAAACTACAAAAGTTAATTTTTGCCTTTGTAAAAATCATATGATAAGTTTCTTTCTACTAAGACTTATTGGTTCAACCAACTTCATCTATAAGTTTTGTTCAACATAGAAAATGGTAATGGTTTATTCTAAGTACCATACATATGGCTGAAATCACGGTCTTTCCTTAAGATGACAGCGATTTCCAAAAACCAATGGTCATGACTCAAAGTGAAGGGATTAAAGATGCATAATAAAGTCCTAGAAATGCCACGAATCCTTCAAAATTTTAACAAACTGTTTTTTATATTTAACAACACATAGGTCTATTCTAGCGATTGACTGTGAACTATCCGTTAGCATAGTACATTTTTGAGAGCTAATATTTTACTTCTTCAACTTTATATATATGTTTATACATATATAGAGCAGTTATTTTAGAAACACACGATTCAAAGTTGTATAGTGTTCCTGAGTGCATGTCACAAGGTGTCACATGCCTCTACAGGAGTAAGCAAACTGATAAACACACATTCTTGAATCTATAGTAAAAAGTATGGGACATTTCAGAGTAATTTCAGGTCAAAGGTCAATACAAATTGTATCACGAAGGAAAGTTTTACAGTGGGAAAATAAGCAAGATGGTTACAAAATAAATCTAGAAATAGTTGCGTCATATGTCGGTTATCCAGAGTGATCGACAATCTACTATGGCCATTGGTAAAAAAAGAAGTTTGTAGACCTTCTTTTGGATGCATATAGATGATTTGGTTTCTTGAATCTCTAATGCTTCACTATGCCCAGATGTCTTAGTTTCACTCTTTTCGAGTGACTTGGTCACACTTTGTACAGAATTTTGAAGAACTTATCAAAAGGAGCAAAGTGTCCTGATTTTACTAAGTGTTCTGTCATAGAGTTGAGGATACATTTTGCTTCTCCCTTTTCCATTCTGTTCCTTTTGATAAATCCTTCAAAATTTTCAACAAAGTGGGACCAAACTAATGGAAGGAAGTAAATATGATGTTGCTTGTATTATTGTAGCAGTGTTGTTCTAGTCTCAGTGGGAACAACATCACTCACCGAGAAGCAAGTTGCCCAGCTGACGCGTCTCAAAAAGGATGAGACGTGCATCCCGGATTCCGCTGCTAGCCATCATGCATCATTATTATCGAAAGGAGTAAGGTTGGGATATTCAGGCATAACTTAAGCATTAGCAATTTCTTAGTTCACACTATCACTAGGCATTCCAAAGAAGGTTGTGCAACTTCTTTCTTTACCATGGTCATCGCAGGGAATCGATCACTGAAGATAATTCCCTTATGATGTGACTGTATTTTGTTTAGTAATCACTTATTTATCTCTCTACTTTAATTGCTAGTGTGCATTAAGTAACTTTCCTCGGTCAGGCAGTTTCTTTTCATTTTTGACCGAAAATTGCTCGGTAATGTTTTATCCTGTCCTACTATATACTCACAAATGTACAGCTAAGAGAATGATTTTGTCGAAAAGAAACATTATTTCTTCACTGCAATCGTTTTCTGTGTTTCCCTATCATCAAGTGGGTTTGTTTCGATATTCAAAGTGTAACATTTATACTATTACGTTGTTTTAATCCCTTATCTGAAAATCTACAGAATAATTTACTGACACAAGATATGACGATCGAATACTCGTATTGGTAGCCAGTCGACTTTGAATGGCCGTTTAAATTCAACTGAATAAGTTAGACGTTTAAAAGTGCCATATTTTTCAAAACTCAGAAAATTAAAGTATTCTAAGGAAAAAACAACATTGATTGGTTGATGTTGACTTAATAAATCGGTGGAATATCCTTTTAACAAATTTATCATTCTGTTGTTGGCGTGGCGACATAAAACGTAGACGTCTTTTCCCGTAAAATAGGTCACATTTTAGTAACTACGCTGTTAATCAAGTTTTCTGTTCAGAGTAGACACGTATTTAATGACAACTTTGTGTTAAGACGCATACATAAAAGTCAATTAATACGCCAAACTAATGATAGAATAAAGTTAATATAATGCATTAAGCTCTTATGAATAAATTATAAAAGTTTTCTTTTTGCTTAAAAATAAAATAAACTTTAAAGTAAACAACTTTCTTCATGTCAATCTGTAAAAATAGTATATCTAGGCGTATAATAATGAAACTTTTAAATAACCCTTTTCAAACCAGGCTGTACATCAAAGTCACTTCTTGAAAAAACGTTCAACCACACCTATTGGTAAGTAATCGTTCTATTATTTTAAATAGACGGAATTTCAGTCAGAAAAGTTTAAGATATAGAAAAAATATGCACAAGTTGGTCACTGGCGCGTAACCGGTGTCTGGTCCTTTGTGTTCACTGTGGACTGAAAAACCTGTAGGATAAGTTTTCAATGTTCCCACTAGACTAAGTGATTCAACACTGCAATGCACTGTATTTTGATGTTAAATTTTGGAAGTTAGCCCTCAACCTATGTTTGGTACTTGTTGGCATTTATTAGCAAGGCCTAAAGGCAATGTGGTGTTTTTTGGTGATTGAGACCTGAGCCATTAAGTGATGACGTCAAAAACTTTACTACCAGGGTATTTAAGGCTGAACACCTTTGTTAGTTACAGCCTAATATGCAAGATTTAACAAGATAAATGCATAAAAATAACAATTAACTTACTTTGAAACCTTCCAGTTTTTCTGTTCTTTTCGGTTGTTGCCAAGTTACTTTCACACTGGTGTCATCACCAGAACAGAATAAACCACGAACTGAAAAATCACTTTCACTATTACCAGTGGCTAGTCGACTTATAACCGGTTGACTACAATCACCATAACGTCCATCTGGTCCACGTGATTTAATGCATATTACGTAACTTGTTTTACTTTCTAAATGACTTATTATGGCCATATTCACTGGACCAACATCAAATGATGTCCACTGACCTGCTTCGTATGGATTATTATTGGCTGAGTATAGCAGACGGAAACCTTGTATAGACATTTGTTTATTGCCTGTGCCAGACTGATCTTCACGTGTTGGTATACGCCATGTGACTTTGATTTGATGTTGATTTATTCGCGATGCTTGAATATCTAGTGGTGGCGGTGGCACTGAACATTTTTATGAAACAATAAATGAGAGAGGCATTCGGTTTTTATTTCAAATGATAAACTGAATACGATTAAATTCCATAATACCATCAGTAATGGATAAGCTGCTTTCAGAGTGAAAGCTAAAATATGGTAAATATCGTCATCTAAGAAAATTGAACAATTTAACTGTGGTTTCAGTCAGTTATCATGACTGGTTGACGAACCATTTCGCACGAAGGAAAGCTAAAAGCTTGTTACTATTATTTGTTATAAAACTTCTTAGAAAAGATTATCGTCAAGTGACCAGTAGGTATATGAAGTTTTTAAAATAGATCAGTATGACTTCACTTTTTTACATCTTGTCACCATAACTAATTCTTAGATGAGTTTTGCTAAGATACACTGTCAATACTTCACGACGATTTTGATGAAAGCTTTTCAATGAGAATCAACTTGGCTATCTATTTTCAAAAGACTCAAGTGAGTCAGCAAAGCTGTCGCATACATACTTAAGAATTTCAGAATTACCTAATCTGATATTTGCTTATTATCTGAAACTTGCCTAGTAACTACGATCAAATAACTCATTATCGATAAGATTAGACGGTAAATTTATTAAAGAAAACGGGTAATACGTAAGATACAACTTGTATAAAGTAACTTATTCACTGTGGAATTGATTTTTAACACGTATTCATAGTATTTTGTGCTGACTAAATCCTTGTTCAGTTTGATGTTGATTTCAAAAGGTAATAGTGCAGTTAGCCTTTGATAGTTATCTCAGTTATTCAGATTAACAATCTTAAGCATCATGTTCAGTGGCATACAGAAGTGGTGTACTTCAACAAATTCTTCTTATTCTTCAGTGCAAAAATACTTTCTGTTTTGTATCCAAATTAATCATACCGTAAAGGTTTTTTGGAGTATTATAAAGTTTTAATAACTGTTCATTTTGAATATGCTGTTAAGTGACCTTAGGTGATAAATTATGCATCTAGAGGCTGAGAATCTCGGAATTTCAATTATTTATTACATTGAGGATTGCCTGAATACTACGTTTCTGTCACATATACTTTCATTAATCAAATCAGTTCTAGGTTCATTGTTTAGCGAGAGAAAGACGTATCAATTTCCGAATGAAAGTAATACGTAGGTGACTCTTTTTCAAATAGATGACAAGCAGTTTCGTAGTTTAAACTTTCAACAGGTTAGGCAAAAACACAGGGTAGGAAAAAAATACACTTCTGTTTCACTTACATTCTACACTTGTCCGTATATTACTTGCTCCAGACCAAGGGCCAGGACCAGCAGATGTGAAAGCACGAACCATGAATGTATAAAACGTTTTTTCTTTTAATCCTCTTGCTGTGTACTGTCTTTGCCCTGGAACTGTAACTTTAATTGTGCTTTCGGTTTGTGTTTCAGCACCGACTTCAAAAAATCTGACTTCATATCCTGTCAACTTTCCGTTACGGTATTGCACAGGAGGTGGTGCCCAGCTTACTTCAACTGAACTTGATGATAGGCACTTAAACGAACATGGAGTGGGCTACTTGATGGAGCTGAGAACAGAAACAAAAGGATTAAATTTTGAACATCTTTTTATTGAAGTTTCAAAGTTATTTCGATTTGTAAAATATGTGAGTAGATTTGTAATCTATTGGTCTGGAAAGCCCATCACTTTCTCACGAAATGTCCCATGTAGGGATAGTTTAGTAACCTGCTAGGTATGTTATCTCTCTTACAGAAGAGTTAGCTCAGCTCCGCATACAATTCTGTATGTGATTTTGAGATATGAATTAAATGGAAGGGAAAATACGTGGCAAAAGATTCATGGCAGAGAAACAATAAAGATAAGAATTCCTGTTGCAAAATTAGTGGGGTAAAGTGTGATAAAGTTTCACGCTTCTTTATGTGTAACATTAGGATTAGGCCATTTTTACTGATCTTCTCAACCTGCATTTCGTGAAAGAAAAGAATAAATCAGGCTAAGTATTTGTTGGGTTTTTAGAGTTAAATTGAAGATAAATATCTCCACTTGTCTGAAATATATCCTGTGTTTAGCCATAACCGAAACCGTAACTTTCTTGTGGGCTAAAAACTGTAATTTGTTGCGCATTTTAATTACCCGACGCTTAGTTACTTTCCAAGTCAGTTTGTAACCTCTTCTATTGTTTTTACCAGACATAACAAAAGGAGTTTTGTTATCTCCCGGTTATTTAAGTTTATGCGTGATCAGAATAACTTGACATGCTGTTTACATCAATTCAATATGACTTGGACATCATCCAAAGATGCGCGAAGCGCTTAATAGTTAACCTATTGATCAGTTGGTGTTGATGTTCATTCGTGTTTCATTTCTGGGTCAAGCATTTCATATACTAGACTACGTTCATCATAAAATACGTTGAGGATTCAGGAATATTGTTTACACAATAGTGTTTTGGTTGATGTTCCATTAATCATAGCACTTTCAAAGTTCAGATGCAAAGGCTTCTTTGTCTAGCTTATCAGCGTACTTCTCGAGTGCTGTCCACCGACTGAACTACTAATATGTTGTAATTGTGACTAAAAATTGACGTCTGGCTAATAAATTCACCTCAGATGAAAAAATTTACAAAATGACAACTAATGTAGAATTATTAAGTCAATCGTATTATAAATGTCAAAGGGAATATTGCAAAAATGACCAAGACAAATATTTAAAATTTGAGAAATTTTAACAAAATCACTTGACGTCATACATTTTATTGAATCTTATTTGTCGCTTACACATAAATAATTTCTACGATAAGTCGGATAACTGATTTGACTAAACTTATACTAAAACAGTGAGGAGTTGAACAAATTTATTTTCTCACATCACCATGACAACATTAGTATAGACCGCAAAATTTAGTAAAAATAGTGTATTACTTATATCACAGACACAATTTACTAGGCAATAAACAACTTCCTTTCCCTGAAGTGCAATATATTTCATTACTTACCACGAGATTTACACAGCCATCAAATGTGAAGCATAAAATCTAGGTGATTTTTCTAAAAATGTTAATATTGTTTTAGTTGGTGTCTGACACCAACTAATCAGCAAAATTACATACTTAAATTTAGTTAACATAATGAAAGATTCATGAATAGCCTCTCAAAAAATGTCACATTTCCATCTCTCCTCATTAGCGTAATAATGATCCAATTGATAGTTAATCTTCATTTCAAATGAATGTTCAGACGACTATTTGCTGAGTGGTGTTTTGCTTAATCAAGGGAGTAAACAGTACACTTCCTGAAAAATTACATATCTATCCATTCACTAATTTTATTCCTCATAACTTTTGGCTACTTCAGTTTCGGATGGAAACTACCCTTCGTGTATAAGAATATTCTTACTTCTTAAAACACTAAATACTTTCGAATGCTATTGGTTGGATGTGGATAGTCGGCAGGAAGCTCTGGACCTAAATTTCGTGCTTTTTGGCACTGGTCATCAAGGCGCTTCTGCAACCTCTACGAAACTGATATCCTGCCTGAAATTCGAACTCGCATCACTAACTGCTACAATCAGAGACATAACTGTTAAGCTATTTGGGCCACAACTTATCTCCTGTATCACTGGATTGGTCACTGATCGACAGAATTCGGTCAGCACTCAGGACTAGACAAGAAAATGTCGGTTACCCTCCAGTGACCAATTAATATACTTTCGTATGCTGTTACACAAAGCCTGATGGTTTGCAGTATCATCTACTTCGACAAGGTTAGTTATTACCCTGTGGTTAACTGTGTGTTTCCATTACTTTATGCGTCTCCTTAAGAATGATTTTTGCAGACTTTCATCCAGTATACCTCTATAATAATTAGACCTGGTTAACAAAAACGTGCTTTACTGCTTTGTCATTTTCTTAAACTGACTTGTTCATTTATGACTACACCGCTTATACCCTACGCTGTTTGTAAGACACATACTACTACGGAATTTCATGAGGTCAGCTATATATAAAAACAAACTGTATCCATACTTATTCATTTCAGTAGAGAAGCACTTTTAAGTCTTGATATTTGACTAAGCGAAACAAGTAAACCAGCGGATAAAAGTTTAAACATCTATTCTCGAAGGATATTCACTGCAGACGGTATTTTGTTCTAAACTACATTTTTCTACAACAACTACATGGGAGGACATTCTTATCAGTACTGAAGACGGTCACAATTATACTAAGGAAATTTGAGACAGTTTCAGTTTCTACATTCAGTCTTTTTTGTTTTTCAGACAAATTTATTTCTTCAGCTGTTTTGTTTATGGTACTTTTTACCTCACTGTATTCATTTATGTCCTAGGAAAGTCATCTAGTTCGCGGCTGGGACGAATCTTACTGTCTAAGCGAAATATATAGTTGTGTAGCTACTTTCAGTGAGAGAAAATGTTGAAAACCGTTAAAGATGATGGATTAAATATATATGAAATAACTCAAGATATAGTAGTAGCGTTTGACCCATTCTAACTTATCAACAAGCGGTCATTCATTGCATAGAGGCCAACATACGACATAGTTTAGTAAGCATAAATATAAAAATCTCTAGGGCTATTATGAGTTAAAAAATGTACAAATTAAAATTGAATAAGTTCTATATTTTATATTCAATACCACTTACATAGTTTTTAAAGAATCTTTTTTGTTCTCCATCTATTTTTGTGTTCTTTTACAGAAAGTATCATTTCTGTTGGTGGGAGTGACTGACCATCTTTAAGTAATTGAGACTTTTAACTTGTACTTAACAGATGATGGCCTACTCACCTTGTATTTAGTATAGCAAAACAGTAGCCAATCTTACAGGTTAGCCTGTGTACGCCATTCAATGAAACAATTCTTAAAACCTTGCCATTCATTTAAGATATGTTTTATGAAAATTAAATTCTGGTTGACTTACGCGCATCTGGTGTACTGACTTCTAGTTGGGCAGTAAGACCTGTTGAGCTTGTATCATTAATGCAACTTCGAACAAGTAGGTCAGTCCGTAGCCTTTAGATTTTAATAATTAAAACAAAAACAGTTGACGTATAAAACTGTTACGTTACCCGTTTACATTTTATACTTTCAGAGTGATGTTTGTAGTGTTATGTTTCATTCTGATAGAAAAGAATATATTTTTCCTTGAATAAGACTCTTAGAAGTATCGAAGACTCTTTTTTCCATTTGACTAACTGAAATTGTACTTTAATTGCATATTTTTATTCATTGACTTGAATAAAATTGCGCGCCGTTTGTTTCTTTATTCATTCCATTTACATTTAGGAATACTCAGATGAGGAAGTAGGACAAAGCAGACTGACTGCAATAAAGTTAATTTCTAATTTTTTATTCATGGTATTTATTTCGCATCAACATCAATTAGAGAGTTATGAAAACTAGAACACACTGGATGGTTACTTCTCTCTGAACTGGTACTCTTTAACGTAGTACAACTATGACTTCATCTAGCATCAAACACATAGGGTCAGGTTGCACCGTAGGTCGGCACTTAGTTACTAGGTTAAAACTCAGTTGTTCGTTTTTCATACTTCCGTCAGTTCGTCACGTAGTATGATGTTATCAACTATTATCACTGAGTGAGCTTAATATGGAGCCCAACACTAAGATGCAATTGTTGTTACGAACTCCTTAGAGTTCCGAGATTTTCCAGTCAGTGTCAGTACCTGATTGATACTTTTAAAAATCAAATTCAACAGACAAAGCAAGTGATATTTTATTCATTTAACTAAAAATTATGAAATGATTGGTAAATGATAATATGTAAGTTGACAAGTCAATTACTCTCAGAACCAAGGCGTTGAGATCGGAATGAGGAGTAAAAATCCCATAAAGTTGCATGTTTACTTCAATGTTATTACAGACGGCTGACTGTCATGAAAAAGCAAATTAGCTTGCAATTCCATACTAACTTTGATGAACATAGAATACTGTCTCTCTTTGAGTAGTTTTCACCTTCTTAATATGCTTTGAGGCCTTAGCACTGATGAGGTGTTAATGAAAACCTTCCTGTATAAATCAGTAATAAGTAGCAATTAATTGTTTTCAGATGGAGTGACATTAAGGAACTATCATTTTGACCATCTGAAACAGCCGTGATTTGACAGACTATTATTGATACTAAGTGATGATAGAAGGCGAAATGAAGATTTGGGCTGTGGTCAGATTCGAACCAACAACCACCAGGTTTCTGACTCGGTGTTGTAACGATTGAGCTACAAGGCTCGACTGCTGACCAGTATCAGTACTAGTCTGGTAAGCCATGGCTATCTCAGATAGTTAAAATGATAAGCAATATGATACGCCCTGTCTCTAATTCAGATAGATTTAGTTCGAAATGAGAAATCCTGATTGGCCAGCAAGTGTGAGTACGATCAAGCGGTAGTAAAGTGTCATGAATTCAGATAGTAGTCAGGCAAAAACCTTGATGATTAGAGCGATATAAAAACCTAGCTAGGAATCGGACCTCGTAGGTGAGTCGGTAGAGCATCGGGCAGAAAACCCGGTGGTGGCTGGCTCGAATCCAGCCGTGGTCCGAATTCTCACTTCACCTTTAATCATTATCCAATGTCAATACCAAGGAACTACTTGATATAGCCTCTCTTTCTCTTACTTTTCTCCTTTCTTTCTTCCTCTCTCTCTCTCTCTCTCTCTCTCTCTCTCTCTCTATATATATATATATATATATATATATATATATATATATATAGCAGGCAAATGATATTTTAGCGCTATAGATAATAGGTGGAGAATGAATAGAAACCATATGTCATTTAGCAGTTGATAAGATTATTTATTTAATATTATCTATTTCCTGTGAAGTATCACTTGTATACAAAGGATAGGCAGTCGAGTATTCCTATTGAATTAGCAAAAATGATTGTGCTTGATAAAATCACTTCTGAATACCATATGTTAGAAACGTTTTTCGTTTTACAGAGGGATTCAGTAACATTTTAGTAGATAAATGAAGTTTGTCTCATTGACAAATATGCGAAAAGAGATGGGTTGTGAAAAAATGTAACCCAAATTTCTCACAATCAGCATTGCAGACCGGTTTAGTTTTCTGCACCACAAAACTACTCTGTTTCTTTTGATTTAATACTATGGTGATAAATTTAGGTTGATACTTCAGCTGATCCCACTACTGTGGTTTGAAAAATAATCAGCCAGTAAAATGATTGACTTTCTCATTCAGAATAAGTAAGTCAATAAGTTATTGAATTTTGAGGGAGTTTTGGAGATTTGGAAATATTTCAAGTTGTCATTCATCGTAGACTGACATCAGTTGAAGGAACAAAGGAAACCTGGGAGCACTGAACAGCTGTTTCGTCCTAGTATGGGACTCCTCAGCAGTGCGCACCCACAAACCCGTCTGGGATCGAAACCGCCACCTTCAGGTTCCCTCGACAGCACGTTACCATTCACCACTGGATCACAATCCAATGCTCCATATTTCCAACTTCTGTTAGCTCACGATATAGCTCAAAATTCAATTGAACTGGTGCTCATTGGTGACTAGCTTCGAGAAGTATTCCCAAAGTTCCAATGAGTAGTCATGACCGGTATAGTCAAAGCCTGATGGTGGTGAGGACAGTTACTCAACAATGACATTGGGTGGTGGTTGTGCTATATCGTGCGTGAGCTAAACGAAGTTGGAAATATGGAGCATTGGATTGTGATTGAGTGGTTGAATGGTAACGTGCTGGTCGCGGAACCTGAAGGTGGCGGTTTCGATCCCTGACGGGTATGTGGGTGCGCACTGCTGAGGAGTCCGATACTAGGACGAAACAGCTGTCCAGTGCTCCCAGGTTTCCTTTGTTCTTCCAACTGATGTCAGTCTATGATGAGTAACAACTTGCAATAGGTTACTGTCATTTCCACAGACGCTCAAGCTGAACTGTCAGCTGTTCATGACAGTGAGTTACAATTGTTACTGTTTGCAACTATCGAAGGGCGTTCTGTTCCCCATAGTTTATTATGCATACAGCTGTTTTCAATACAAACTCAAGACATAGTCTATGGCGACCGACCAAAAGACTTGAAACTAACACTTTAACCTCATAGGACTGCTGATTAGTAAAGCTAAAAATATTTCCACTTACACTTATAAAAATCTTGTTACTAGTTCAGGAGCGAGAAGATGGACATACGCTGGCTGAGCCGATGGAAAGACCCCAGAAGAATATTTGGATTTCGCAGATGATGATTTATGTCTAATGTCTTGTCGTACAAGCTAGAAGATCTACAAGCAAAAACCAACAAGTTGGCAGAAAAGGAGAGGCAGTGAAGACGGGACTTCCTTCAAGTGAACGTAGAGAAGACGAAGGTGAAGATACCTAACCAACAACAACAATCACCATGAACGACAGAAATCGAAAGGGAGTTGTCTCTTACATCTACCTAGGGAGGCATCATCGTTTCAAATACAGGCAGCACAGGCACAGATGAGGATGTCAAAATCAGCCAGGATAGGAAAGACAGCAAGACAGGCCTCCCTGCATTAACCTGAACTCAGTGTGCAGATCTACTGCATTGCACTTCACTCAACATAAAGCGTGGACAAGATCCGGATTTTCAACACTAAGTCAGTCAGGTAAGTCAGTGCTTCTATGTGATTGATGAGAGACTTGGCGCGTTACGAAAAGCATTTCCAACAAACTACAGACATTCATCGACAGCTGCCACCTGCACTCACTGGATACTGATACTGAAGATCAGATGGCCAGAATAATAAGAATAAGCAAGGAGGAACTCTGGCTGGCTGGCTGGCAACGAACCAACCAAGAACCCATCGCCCAAAAAATATGCAGAAGGGAGTGTAGATGGATTGGATTGGGCATACACTGAGAAGACCATTTGGAGACATCACGCGCCAAGCCAGGCCGTCGAGTGGAACCCCTATGGGAAGCCACTAGTTGGGCGTCCGAGGCGAAGGTGACATGGAGGAGATGATGTGAAGAAGAAATGAAAGGTTGTGGGTAGTGGTGGAGCCAGGTTTAAAAGGCTGCAGAGAACAGAGTGCAAAGGAGACGTTCTACTGCAGCTGTATGTTCCACTAGGAACCCAAGGGACAAATAATAATAATAGGTTGACGAAATCAGTCTTCTCATCGGACCTTCGTATAGTTCATACGAAGTACTCCTCCTGTTATCTGATGTACATACAGAAAAATAAGAGAATTTCCTAGAAAGTATTTTCTCGGTGTACCATAAGACAAAACCTTGGCCGCTTTCTGCTAAGTTACTGAAACATCAATCTTGGCTTCTAACTGATTAAATGTGTCACGTAAATTAATGTTTAGTTAATTCTAAATTTTTACACTACATTATTGCACTCACCAATATTGTCACTTTCTGATGATCTGAATGTATTCCCAGTAACATTAGCCAATAGTCTTCGTTGTAACATAGGATGGCTACCATCTCTTTCCAAGTTAGGCCCATATATCTCACTTGAAGCCAAAGCAGTGTCTGTTAATTCATTCACCAGTTCTTGGGGACCTGTCAATCGTGCAAACACTTGATAACTAACTTGTCTGGTTGTGTGTAAACCTTCAGGTGGATCCCAGGCTAATTCTACGCAGAGATACGGTAAATCTATTATTCCACGTACACCAGCTTGATCTGAACGTGATGATGTTAGACGAGATCTTTTATGTATGCCGACAAGATGTAGTTTTCTAGGTTTCATTGGAACTGTAATCAAATCGAAAAGTGGAAGTTCAAAGAAAATGCAAGTTATAAGTGTTACAAATCCTAAAAAGTTTATATATATATATACAGTTATGATAAGCTCTTCAACCTTGAAAACTTTCGTATATTGCCCCAGTGACTACGATAATTATGCACTGGTTGATGAAACCACCTGGCAATGTAGTTAGTAGGAGGAAAAGTATTTTTTCAACAGTCAACTAACTCCTATCAAAAGGGAAACCACAACTTCATATATTGGGCACCTTTTTTGAGACATTAATTTTCACCATCCGTTTGACTGTGGTTTTAACGAAAAATAAACACGCAGGTGAGAAAAACCTAGTCAGTAATATTGATCATGTCCTCAGGAAAAATGTGTTCACTTTATAAAAGATTTTTTTTATATATTTTGTTTCCTAAGCAGATTATTCAAAACAAACTGAACTGACAAAGAAACTTAATTTTCAATAAAAAGCAACTGAAGCATAAATTCGTTTCCCCTACCGCATAAACTAGAGAAATGAGTCACCGTTCTTATAAAGAGAGGTAAAGAAATAAATGAATTCTTTTTTTGGTTCCTCTGTGTATTTTTAACATTGAATTACCAGTATGTATATAAAACAAACCATTTTAGGTCTCTTTTACTCTGGCATACATTCTCTTTTCTCTAACTTTTTAAAATTAGCAGTTCATTGAAATAAATTTCAAGCAGAAATAGAATTCAGAAAGTATACTGCTTAAAAACAAAAACTTAATGATCTATAAAACTATGAGAGATTGCAAGACTTCAGGGTATCATTCATAGTATCATTGAAGTGAGAATTACAGTTTCCTTATTAGTCGTAACCAATAACTATTTCCTTCTGTATTAACAAGTAAAAATTTCAAAATCTGTACGTTTAAGAAGAGTAGAAAAGGAAGATAAATCAACGATCAAAAATCATGTTTAGATTATAAACTTTGTGAAACTATTTGAGGAAGTAAAGTCATAAAACAGTCAGTAAATAAAAGTCAATGTATTTCTTTTACAACATCGTAATTTGCATACCTGAGGGTGAATGGTATTAAAATACCAAGTCATGTCATCGAAAGCAGAGTATAATTTAATTATTTTGTTTTAAAAAGGACCAAAATCCACGAATAGGTGTTCCATACACTTTCTGCAGCATAATTTAGCTTTGTTGAGTAAACTGCTTCCGAGTTAATGCTGCAAATTGAAATGATCAGCCTATCGTGTCTATATTTCCTATCGAAATCTATACAAACGTATTACTGCAGTAGCTTTTGGTTGTAAAAATAAATGCAAAAGATTACCAGATATCTGCATAACATACAGTTTGCTCCTTCATAATTTCTGTTCCTTATTTTCATCCATAACTCCTGTTCTTGAAAATTCAATTCGTTATTTATTTATTTACAGAAAGGAAGATATATCAGAATTTACTAAGGAAGAAAATCATTAAACACTGAACAACCTTATACTAAATAATGTCATGAAAAATGTGCTTTCTCATGCTGATGCTTAGTGGATGAGATTCACAGATTTCTTAAAAAAAACTTTTAATATAAAAGGTCATATTTTGTAAGGGATATTTGTTTTATTGGAGTTAAGGATGCTAAATGGCTTTTTGAGATAATAACCTACCCCCACAGAGTTGTACGGAGGCTAGGTTAGAGGTGGGGTTGGCTGATGTATCAAACAATAGTCGATAGGCTGTAAAAATAGACAGTCTTAAAATGCAGTCATCATTCTCAAAAATGATGATAATAACATTAGGTTTTTCAGGACAAAACAAGGAACCAAAGTCAAACTTTAATATGCCTAACTTTTTGAGGAAGACAAAAAGTGGATGCATCCTTACCACAGTAACCGGTTGTGCAGTAAATCTATCTGTAAATGCAATTAGAGTTAAAATCGTATTCACTCCTACTACTTACAAGATTTCCGCTTACAGATGAAAAAGCTTTTTCATCATACTACTTACTAGAACCATGAAACAGAAAGTTAGTTTTTTAACAATATAGGCATAACGTTAGTGGTAAGATTTTTTGCACAAGATAGTAAACGGGTTGGAAACGAAAAAAGTGTTTAACTAATCCAACTTAGTAACTATTTACAAACGAATTGAATTCGTACGTACAAGTGTTTATTCCCCTATGACGTCAGTTAATCTAACATCTAGTAACCTTGTTTAATTTATAGAATTTCAATGAACCGTGATACCTTATGATTTCATTTTGTTTACTGTACAGAATGATGGTAGACAACTTTTGAAGGCTGCTCTTCATACGTAAGCTTAAAACTAACCCATTTATTTTGTGGATTTGAATTCATAATACTACTATGCATATGAAGCAATTCATTATCCTTTCTGTATCAGGGTGTAATCTGTTAACTCAGCATGAATCTGATTACATGGCTAGACAAAATTTCTAGCTAGAGGTCAAAGGTTATAATTTCTGTTTTAACAGCTAAATGGCAATCAGAAAGAGGATATTCAGAGTTGTATTCATAGAAGATTAGCTTCAGCTAGCAACAAACACTTTATCCCGTGTTTTTATCCTCAAAAATCTCCGGTCTGAAGATTTAAGTAAGATAATGCTTCATACTGAGCCTCTGTAGGGAGTTGATGTAGAGACTGACTACATCACTATTTAGCGTTAAGTTCTCAGTGTCTTTTTGTTTACCAGTCAAAACCCTCAGAAAGATTCAATCAGATAAAATAATGCATTCACATGCAACTGATAATTCATTCCACAGTATAGGGCAAGACGACTGCAAGTAGCGAAAATGGATTAGAAGAAGACAGTAGAAGATGGCTTATTCGATAAGATTATAAAGGCGGGATATCTCCATGCCCCTTCACCGATAAAATCCATTGTGGAAACAGAGTCGAGAATGACAAAAATCCACGATCATTAGGTGTTTCACTCAATATTCACCTTGGTTTCCGTTAATCCTCATGAAAGGGTGTTCTAGGCGAAGAATCATTAATTTGGTACTCTTCTAAAGGGAACAAGCATTTCTTATCTTTTTCCTATAACATATTTCTTGTTAAATACCGTGCTCAGCGGACAAAATTAAAAAACCCATTGCCATGAGCTATTTATTTATACAAAAATGAAGATAGTTGTAGGAGGATTCATTCTCAGCAGGGAAGATTTCAGGAATGCGAAATCACATATTCCCTTGTTTTTGGCTAGAAATCATACTATTGTAATGGATCCATACTGGTCTTCATTTTTGTACACATTAAAGACAAAAACGTCTACTGTGGTTTTCTGCAGGGTAGTCTAGTTATTTGTTTACTTTGGTGGAAATATAAACACTTCATTTCCTACTGTGCTAGTTGCTAAATTTCTAACTGCATAGGTGATTTAGAAAGTCTGTTAGTTGAAAAACGGTTTCGTGGTATATTAAGTTTG